TGTTGACAAAAGTGCGCCGTCAAATTTTGTTTTTGCCGGATCGCTGATGTGGTGTTGATATACAAAGTTAGCAGAGAGGCGATTGTTTTCCATCCAGAACGCGGAAGCTTTCCTGCTCCACCATCACGCACAATGGCACAACCGCAAAATTACACATTTTGCCAAAGCAATCTTTCTGCAAAGGAGAAAAAAAATGTAATTGCTCCCGTCTCTGTCGCTACAATCATAAATTTCAAATCATAAAAAATAATTCCATAATTTGTCTTACAATTAGATCATTAAATTTTCCCTTTATTTCTGAAACTATCACTGGATTTTAATAATCTTTGCTGTAAACTGAGGATTAATTGGAAACGTAATTTCCCAGCTTGGTTGGCGAGGAGAGGATAAAAATTTTCGCTTGCAAAAAATCTCGGTCGTTATTAAAGCGTTCAGTATTACAAAAAGACATACTCACTGGGTGCTCAATTGAGCGTCTAAGCGGCTTTATCGCCTTTTCATGCTGCGAGATGCATTACTTGCTTAATTACTCGTCTGCCGCAAAAGTATATAATATGGAGTTTCAACCACAGCCACATTATCAGGGACGACTCGCGCGTTTATTACTGCAATAACTATTAAAGCACACGCTGCCAGAAGAACAAAAAATAACGCAGATCTTGAGTAGATAATGTAATCACATAGAAGATTTTGTGCAAAATATGAAGAGAGTTAACGTAATACCTTTTTTTCTTCTTCATAACTTCAGTAGGTGTCACGAAAAGAAAGGAAATAAAAGCAAGTCTACGTTAATTATAATTCCCATGCTGTAAAATGTTTTTACGGTAAATTCACAACATGCACGCGGCGCAATTGTTGGAAAAAGAAATTTTACTCGACCGAGCGACCGACGCGTTGTCGAATGCGATAACGAGAAAGAGGCAAGTGAGCATAAAAATTGAGTGCCACCGCTGCTTTTACATGCTGAGCAGGATGATGGCAGTAAAAGGCTTGTTGAACAGAGGAAATTGCGTTGCATTGTTTTTTTGTGTAATTCTTTCGTCTCTATTAAGTTTAAAAATAAGAAAATGTGGCATATTTTAATTAATTAACCTAAAACGTAAAGGATTAATGAAAATATTTTACTTCACTAAACCAAGCATCGAATATAAATTTTCTCTCTTTTTTTCGCTTATATTTCTATTGTATTCATTTCTCTGCTTCTCCATTATTTATAATTAATCATCTTGATCAATTTTTTCAAGAATAAGCTGGATAGCTTACAATAATGTTTATATTCATGATATGAGAGAATAATTTATGCAAGTAAAAAATATATTTATTTAATTTTTTATAAATAAGACAGTAATTGACAATTGTTGACAGTTAAGATTTAGTTGTAAGCGTCATTTACAAGTAAGCAATCTTATATGTTGAAAAAATTAAAATATATTATCAAATTTAATAAAATTTAAAATTTTGATAAAAAAAAAAGTATTTAAAGAAAGACAAAGTAAAACAAAATAATTGTTAATTGTATTAATTAAATTTTATATACCTTTAACATAAATTTTATAAAGCTGTTTTTTTTTATTAAGGCTTCAATTAATTTTGACCTCTGCCTATTTTCAAAATTGTATAATCATAAAGCAAAAAAGAAAACTGTCGGCACTCTAAACTTCACAGACAGCTCTTGTGCAGCGATAATTAGCTGAGACGATACAAAAAATCTGCCGCCCGCTGAAGTAATTGGCAAAATAATCCGTCCGCCGACGTGTCTCGATAGTACAGTTCAACGTTCGCTCCCCTATGTTTGTGAATATGACATTTGGCAGTGAGGAGCCTTTCACCATTTCACTCTCTTTGCTTTTGCGCGATACCAATCTCTGCTCTTGAGAGTTTTCCTCTACGTCAGACGGCGGCTGCTTGTATTTATATGTCCTGAAGAAAGGAAAGAGACACGGTCTTTTCTTCTTTCCCTTCACGTCTGCCGCTGCATAATTCGGCATGCACTAATTGCAAATTCTCGCGCACCACAAAAGACGCGAGAGCTCCAATCGATAGCCGGGGCTTTTGTCCGCAGCAAATAGAGCTCTCCCCACACATACAATCAACTCAAGCTTGACATTCCAGCTAGTGAAATGAAAAATAGTTTCAGCAAAATCGGAAAATAAATTAGCAAGATAAATCTGTGTGCATATAATTAGAATCAACTTGCTTACTTTCATGCACTGCGTGATATTTTTGTTTTGATGGTTGCAGAAAAAACCTAATTAACTTTCTCCTTTCACTCTCTTTTGTTTTTATCTACTTCTGCCTACATTTATCCTCATTTCTAAACCACAATAAGTACAAAAGTAAAGGTGTTACAAAGTATTGCAGTTATAATAGATGCTATGCAAATAAAAATCAGTTCGAAAAAGTCATTCACAAATTTTAAGAAAATTTACAAACATAAATTGATGACAAATAAAATTGATAATTATTCACGAGAAAAGGAATAATTTTGTGGCTTTTATAATTAAATTCACCAAATATTTTATTATTAACCACTATGAAAATTATACAAAACTGCTTCTTATGTAGCCCCCTCAAATTTAGTGTATTTAGAGTCACTTTAGTATTCAATTACCTACAAATTTTATCGCAATCAATATGGAAAAACACAATTTAATCTCTTAAATGTGTATAATTTATAATTTATGAATAATATAATCTCCATTTATGCTTTTAATCATCTCTTATTTATAGATCTTAATGTTTTTATAAATATAAAGTTTTGACGCGTAAACTTAGTTAACTGCAACCTTTGTTAAAAATATAATAACTTAATGTCAAACAGTAAAAAAACGGAACTCGAGAACAATGGTTGTTAGTTGATGAGCATATTCTTTCTCTTTTCCCGCTGCTGAGTGACGTTTGTTATAAAAATGTAACACTATACTCACTCGCACTCTCTCAACTTGCACTTTTGATCATTTGAAAAAGTATAAACAATTGGTTCCAGGAATATTAACTACTCTGGCCTTGCAAAAAGTTAAAAATGTTTCGCAGAACACGCGGGAAAATAAAATCATTAAAATTAGGATTACCTCTGGCGTCTCTTATAAGTGAGCGTACCAATAATTTATGCATTTCAAAGACTGCCAATGTTTACACATAGTTTTGTATTCAAACAAATAAAGCAAGCGTTACCTAACCAAATTAAATGAATGTGAAATCGGCGGCTCTTATTGAATTGATATAATCGCTCCAGCGCGCTTCCAACGTAGAAATGGCATTGGTGCGTAATTTGTCACGCTGAACGTAATTAAAAATTTGTAAAAGTGTATCTGAGTGATTGAGTGGGCAGGTTGGTCAATGTAGTGAAACCGGTTAGTCATGCACCCATGAGACTGTTATTGAACCCTATTAAATGCAAATCGACGCGATCTAATCCAATTGGATATGTGCGTGTGTGGGAATCGCACATAGAGAGCCCTCTTGAAATTAATCGAGGAGGATGTGCGGTGGTGAGTTTGAGCGGCCGCGCTTTGTCATGAAAATTAGAATCCATTGTGTGCGGATTTTGCATATTCATTGCCCAGAATAAATTGCCAGCCTCGTTCTCGCCTCTGGTTGCACTTTGCAAACTTTCTCCAAACATTGATTTTGGTTTCTTTTGTTGTATTAAGAAAAAGTTAATGCTAAATTATCAGTTGGAATAACATTAAAATTACACTGGAAAAAAACGAATGAATTTATAGAAAGTTTACTTATTTTAAAGTTTAATTTATTTTGGAGGTTAAGCATAAGTGAATTTTTCAGTAAAACAATTCATTTTGATGAATGATATTTTAATTTTTAATTTTATTCCAAAAACAGGCGAGAAGTTTTAAATTTTAATGCCTTATTTTATCAGTTTTCATCCAGCAGTAAAATATAATTTCTTATGAAATAGATGATTAGAGAATGAAAGTATGCTAAATTTTTTAGATGATTTTAGTAGAAAACTCACGACAAAATGTCCATGTTGTCAACATTCCGTGGAAATTTTATGTTAATTCTATTTCCAATTCCTAGTAGTAAACCTTATTAATATAGATTTAATTGAAGGGTCGTTGAACTTTAATTATTAAATTGTATCTTTGTCGCATCAAGATGTACTTGAAAGCCGTGTACGTTTTGATCAAAGAGAGAGTGGAGTAATCAAATGCAAATAAAAACGCACATCACATGCTGCATACTTATGAAATTGGTGACCAATATCTCGAGAGCCAGAACCGGTAAACTTTTCCCATTCCGTCAGGTATACAGACCACCTAAAGAAGGGGCATCCCGAATTGTGTTTGACTCATCGCGACTTCGCGAGCTGAATTTTTATTTCACCACAACGCAGAAAGACCGGTGACATCATAAATCACGCCCTTTGTTTTTTTGCTCTCTGCTAATTGATTTCTGACAGAGTCACGAAAATATCTGAAAGGGATAAAACAAGGAATATTTTTCATTTGTTTAGCTATTATAATTCCCGTCCAAATTCAACAGTCAAATAAAATTAAGAATAATTAAATTTATTACATCAGCAAGAGCTCCAAATTGAATTAACTGTTTAATTTTTTCCGAAGTTCTTCATTAGAAATTTAAAAGTCACGTAACGCGTTCACGCCCTTTAACCAGGTCATTGTTCTTCCTCACTCGCGCGCACTTTTCTTATCAGTGCAAAAATCTTTTCCTCCCTCTCTCTCTATCTCGAGACAAGTTCCCAGCCTCCAAAATTTTCCACGCTCTCGAATTCAAGGATTTTTCCTTTTAAATTTCGATTTTCGACCTGCTGGTCTTTCTTTCGTATCTCGTCCCGCGGTAATTAGGCTGTCATGCATGCGAACGACTTCCTGCCAAGGCTAACCTTTGGTAAAACGCACACGCGGATTGTTTTCAAAGCGCGGCCGCAACTTCCTTTGCGTTGTTTTGCGCGCCGAGCACAGGTGTCGCGCCTACCTTTGGTGCTCAAAGAGTTAACCGAGCCTTCGCTGTTGCAGACACAGATGTCGCGGACGAGCCCAGCAGTGCCGGCGCCAACACCACCTCGACGTTTGCGGTGCTCGAGACGATTTTTGAGGAAAATTCGGACGATCTACAAAGTACCGACTCGGAAGTGGACTGCTCGTACAAGTCAGACGACTCTTCGGATGATGACTTTGAATCGGTCATTCACGTCAGCCCTGGTAAGTACCTTTTGTGTTTTAAATATATATAGTTTGTTTTATGTTATTGTTTAAAAAAAATAGCTTGATTTTAATTTTATTTGCTTTTCGCAATTTGTTAGATAATTTTTATTTTTATTTATATATAATTTTAATATATTTTAAAATTTATGTTTTATTTCATTTATTTTCGTTCAATTAATTTAAAATATTGTGCAATTTAATTATAGCAAGTATTTATTAATAATTAATATAAATATTATTTTTCAACTAAATTCACTGCAATTGAATTCAAGCAGAAAGGTATTTTCATGTCATTTGTCTGGTTTGGAACGAAATAGTAAATAATATATAATTTTTTTTATCGCCCATATAAAATAAAAATTAAAAATGTATCTGGAAATCTGATCGAGGGTTTTTTTTAATTGTTTATTTTACACGTCAAGAGTAAAAGTGGTAGCAATATAAAAACATAATCTTTCTATTACTTAATCTCAACAATAATTTCCTTTGTCTTTGAAAAAATGACAAGATAAGTTAGCACCAGCAAATCCATTTAGCTAACATTTTGTTAGCTATATATTCCCCCAATAATCCAACAATTTGATGTATTTTATTTATTGTTTTACATTCTAAATATTTATGAAAGACTGCGGCGCCTTTTTTTAATAAACAGGTTCAATCAATTTCATTCCAATATAGAGCTTCATATAACTTAGAAAATATTTATTTTATAAAGCTTCCATGTTTCCCAGTAAATGGTTTCTTTAAATCCATTGTTAAGTTCCTTCTTATCGCTTTGTATTTTCCCATACAAACTTTGTTCTAGTTGATAAATTCCAATTCAAGAAGTATATTAAATTTGGTAGATACTAAAAATGTAAATAAAGTTGACTGACAATGAAACAAATCATAAATTTAGCGAATTGTTCGAAGTCCTCTCAAAATAATTGTTATATCTTACCATAAAGCGAGTATAAGAAATGCAACCACGCAATAAAAGGATTAAAATATTGTAATCGTCACTTTTTTTTATAAAATTTGTTTAGGGCTACATCAGGGAATTTTTTTGAACACAATTATATATATAGCAGCAAGATATTTTTCTGTGGATTATAATATTTTTACACAACGTTTGAGAAAAATCAAGGAAGTTTTATTCTTCAATTTATTTAACATTTATGCGTTTGCATTTAAGCTTATTTTACAAAAGGTTTTTGTGTCATTTATTTATTTTTATTTTTTCGTAAAAAGTTGTACATTTTTATCCTTTTTCTGCATTATAAACAATAAAATATCCCGAAACATGCTAAATAGTCATTTGGCCATCTCTGCGTGTCAACAGGTGAATCAAGCGACAGCGGTTCAGAGTCCGAGCGCGACGTGGCCGTGCCAAAAAAGCGCCGCAAACGCGAGGCGCCGCCCGTGCCCCCGCGGGGTCGCGTCGCGACCCCCGAGCCACTTCTCCTCCTGCAGGAGCCACAGCAGTCCTTGTCCCGCTCCAGCAGCCTGCTGCAGTTCGAGTGTCTCGAACAGGCGCTGTCCCAGGAAGAACTGGACGAGGAGGGAGAGGAGGAGGAGGTGGTTTTCCGAACCAGCGCCACCGACAAACCCTTTTCGTCCTGCACGACGGAGTCGCAACCACCCTCCTTCTCCAGCTTCAGCTTCGACTCGCTGGACACGACCGGCAGCAGTCGCGGTCGATCGCTCAAAGACAGTCTGGAGGACGAATCTAGCACCCCCTGCAGCTCCTCCTCAGACGACGAGTCTTACTTTTTGGACCGACACCACAAAGGTAAGGGATTATTAAATTTCTCATATTTATAGGCAAAATTATTATTATGAATTTGAAGATAGTCGTTAAATTAGGGACTTTTTTTAAATATTTTGACGGCTAATTTATTTTTTGTTAACTAAGGTAACTTAAAATTTATTTTTAAAGAAGTTGATTTTAGGCAAACTATAGACATGATAGATAAATAAAATTGAAATGAAAATATAGGACTTTTGATGTATAACAAAAAAGTAGTTAAATCAATCAATTATATATCTATCCATTCGAAATATATGATTTTTGGCAATTTGAATACTATTCTCCTTTTAGATGATGGATGATTAGGAGTCAATTATTTTATAAATAGATTTGTATTGATTGCAAGAGTAAATTTAATTCATAAAACAGGCACACACAAAAAATAAGGAAATTTGGTATGTAAAAAGTTAATTTTTAATGTTAATAAAACAAATATTGATAAAAATCGATCTTCATTGATACTCTTTGTAATTATACCACTTTAGGTTGTACTATAGGCAATCTCTTTTGAACATAACACTAAATTAATTTCGTTAATTAATGTTTACATCAAATTCTAATTGAAATATTGCGTGACATTGACTGATTATTTTATCAAGGAATTTAATTTCCCTTTTCAGGGACGAGTCTCGGACGCTCGCGAATGCGGTCTTATCGCAGTTTCGACAGTCTGGTGCACGTGGTGCGTCCGCTGAGTTGCGCCACCAGTCTGCAGGAGAGTTCGGTGGTGGTTCTGCTCGAAGAGGAGGAGGAGGAGGAACGCAAGCCCGCGAAGAAGTCGAGCGAGAACCTGAGCGAGGACAGTGGCTTCGGCGACGTGAGCGTGCGCAAGCAACACGAGCAGCCCATCGCCGAGGAGGACGAAGAGAAAGTCGCGGCGGACGATAAACTTATTATTCTTTTGCCAGATGCGGCGGCGGTCGCATCTCCTCCGACGGCACATCCGGTCGTCGCAGTAGTCGAAGTCAAAGCAGAAGCAGAAGTTGTAGCAGGGGAGGCGGTGGCGGAGTTAAATTTAGAGGAATTCGAGGAGGGGCAAGAGGCTGCCGGCGGACACACCCATGACACTAGCGGTAGTGGTAGTACCACGAGTAGCAGTGCAGAGTCAACACCGCTGACCCTCGTCCAGTTCAACAGCGACCTGAGCATCGACCAGGAACAGGTGCAGGAGGAAAGCAGGTGCCAGTTTTACTGCAGCGCCCCCAACCTGCTGTCCGAGACCAAAATGTCCACCGTCCCGGTCCCGGCGTGGGAAATCCACCCTCCGAAGGAAATCACCGAAGAGGTGATGTTCAAAGAGGAGACGTCGCCCAAGCCGGCCAAGAGCGGCAACAAGTTCGGAAACTTTTTCCAGCGATTCTCTTTCCGCAAAAGCAAAGGCAAGGGGAGCAAGCAGTCGTCGCAGGAGGACATCGCGACCGTCGAGGCCATCCACTCGGTGGAGGCGGCCGCGGCCGAGCTGTCCAACTTGGGCGAGTACACGTGCAAGAAGGAGCGGCCGCCGCTGCCGCCGGTCGGCCCGCCAAAGTCGCGGCTGCTGGGCATCGTGGGTCGGCGCGGCGCGAAGCCCGAGACACTAGCAACCCCGAGCGAGTTGGCGGCGAAGCAGAAAATCGATATCGCGGCTGGCAGTAATGGAGGCAGCCAGCAAGAAATACCACCCCGTGCAGCAGCAGCAGCAGCGGCCAACAAGAAGGCGTCCAGCCTGGTGAACATCACCGCCATGAACATTGTGGACATTGACATCAGTGAGCCCGCGCCGCAGGGCCACCATCTGTCACTGTCGGTCGCGCGGCCGCCGGCCGCCGCGGCCACCGACCCCAGGGCCAAATCCATGGAGTTCCTGCTCGACGACGAAAACAAGGCAGCAGTCCAAGTGAGTACAATTTTTTTTTTAATTTTTAAAAATATTTTTATACCTTAATTTTTATTTGCGAAATTGTTGAGGAAAAGTTGCATAATTTTAAATGTAAGAGTTAGTTCACGGTTCATTTTAGAAGGGACTTTCTTTCTTTCTTTCTTTTCAGAGATTAACAAACTCGTGTGTGTGTATTTATTATTCCAGCACCGCGCTGCTGCTGGCTTTATAATAATCTCCCGAGGCTGATTTGACATTGATTAAGCAACACATATGCGCTGCACCTCGTTTGCTCGCGAGTCTCTTCTCCATCTCTCACAAAAAGCAACACTCTTTTACTTCATTATATTTAGTGTGAAGCGCCTTTTTGCTTTCGTGCAACTCGTCGTCGTTTGATGGAAAAATCACGTGCTGCTCTTTTTATTCACCGGGAAGCAGAACTGACCCAAAGTAAATTTCCTGCGCTTGACGAGTCACGCCCATCACTTTGTGACTCTTTTATATTTTTAAACTCGTGTCAAATTGGTCGAAACAATGGGTCTATGGACAGGCGTTTCGAGCTCAAAAAACAAAACGTGGAAGGAATTAAAGAAACGAACGAAACTCGGGCTGAATTAAAATCAATTGTGGTGCCGCTCCCACTTTTCCGGCTCTCCTTGTCCCGAGTGAATGGGAGCAGCCTCTGGGAAAGCAGCTTTGTCCGTTTTAATCCGACGTCAATATTGAGTCGATTTGAACGGTCATGATGTGCATTATTTTCGGCTCACAATGCTCCTCGTATATACTGAAAAAGGCTCCATTGCGAATATATAGGTCACGCGCATAAAACACACACACGAGAGAGAGAGAAAGAGCATCCATCCGCCGCCGCCGCGCACAATGCGACGACGCGCTCTTGGTTTTGTTCTCTGCGCGTCGCATGCGGAACTCTCGCAGCGAATTCTCATGCAAATAGGACCTAATCAGCCACCGCTATCAAATTTTCCACACAGAGACCTTTGTGTCTCGCCGCATGTAGATCAATGGTGCCGCCAAATTAATCCAAAATAATCCTCACAAAACATAAAATTTGAAATTCAAATCGATGTCTGATGGAATTATGCAAGGTGGCTGAGGGATGAAAATTATTCAATTTATGTCAGCTTTGCTCAGTTTTGCCTCATAAATTTTGCTCTGGGGAATATGAAAGAATTTATCAGCTTCATCCGTGGAATAATTTGGAGTGGTTTTGGTGAAAAATCGTTTATGATTAATTCTAATGAGTAAATCTTAATTATAAATTAACTGTCTTTTAACTTAGGATTAATAATAGCTGATAAAGTACAATAAATATAATACTCCGTTTGTTTCAATTGAATTTTAATTTTGGCAAGTACATTCATCAATAATTAAAAATAAATCTTTAAATCAAAAGAAATTCAAGAGAAAATATTTATAAAAAATGAACAAACCGGCGAAGGTATTATAATTGAATACAAAAATATATTCACGAATCTCAAATTTAGCTTCAAGTATTTATATTTCTCTATTCTAATGCTCAAAAATAATCTGGTTTTTAAATTTTGCTAATGAAAAAAACATTTACGACCTGTGTAAAAGCGGTGCACTAAAATAATTCTCTCGTCGAGAAACGATGCTAAATTTCAAAAGCAGTACACACATTTTCCAAGCCCATTTTACAGCAGCTCTTAAAGTTGTTTTTCGGAGTTAAGAATTTTACTGCTCGCGTTATTTTTCCCTTCCTGCCGTCGTCGGTGAATGGTCCTCCAAAGCATATGTACGCATCCACCCGCTGTTGTGCAGAGCATATAGTTATAAACCTGCAAATAACACACACACAAGACTAGCGAACGAAGAAATAAGTGGAACATGTGTTGAGCACGCACACATCCGTCATTTGCTCTGCGTTCAAAGGGTGTTGGAGAAAAAAATTCATTGTTATTTCACCCACGAAGCTCCCTCCGTTCATTCACGCCGTTGAATGAATAAAAAACTTGGCGTTCCCCCATTGTTGCCTCTCGCACATGTGTTGGACTTTAACATTTTAACTGTGAGGGAACGAACTAATGAATACAAAAGTTTAAAGTCCTTTGCAAAGGGCATGCAACAATTATAATTTCAACTGGCTCTTTTCACTTTCTACATACAGCTGCGGTGGGAAGTTTTTTTTAATATTTTTTATATATACTTTCCATTGTGCTTGGGGATCAAAATGTTTCCTACTTCTTCGCACATGCATGAGTAGCTCGATCACAGGTCACTTAATCCGCAGCAAGACCTTTCTCTCTCGTCAGCAGGTGGATTAACCAGAGCACCGAGAGAGACGCGGTATATCAATTTTTTTCCTTCGTTCGCGGCAGCACTTTGTTGCAGAGCTCTTGGCCGGAATCGATGGCTATACGTGCTCTCTGCTGCAGATTAAAAAGAGATTCGAGAGGAGAAGAATGGACTGCGGAAAAGAATGGGAGATATAGAAGATGCGCATCCAAGTATATTTACCGAGGGAAAAAGAAAAAAGATGCTTCGATTAGTTCTTAGCATCAAGACAAAGAGAACCTGCTGATTTAACGGAGTGCACAACAGCAAAATTTAAAAAATACAATGAGTTTAAGAGATTTATTCCTTTTAATATAAAACTGGTCTTTTGGGAGAAAAATGTTCACTCTTTTGCGTGTTACCAAAAGTTAAAAAGATTCCAAATAATTAATATTTTATAAAAAAAATTTAATTTTTTATTAAACTGATATGTTTCTGAAATTGAGACTCTCTGGCTTAAATTTTGGCTTATACCAAAGAAATATTTTATTTTTATTTTCAATAATAATTTTGCTAAAAGACAAAATTCTAATAATTGGTTACATAACATTATCGTCGTTAACCAATTAATGACTATGCTGGTTTCAATATAATGACCTATACTCCTTCACCCACACACAATTCCGACGGATTTTATCTAAAACGTGGATCAAACGCCCGCAGCTGCACATCGACCGCGCAGTATAAGTTCTGCTCTCTCATTTATATGGAAGGTTTTTCAAAGAGAATGGCACTTTGTCAGAGACGGGACGTCTAGATAGGCGCGCAGACAGAAAGGACGAAAAAAAGAATCGGACAGTGGCCCAGTTTCAAACCGAGGACGACAGAGAAAGAGAGACGTCTTGGATTTTTTTCCTGCTTTTATCGCGCCTCAACAGACCGCAAGCACGATTTAATTTTGGTCTGCACGCGGCGAGCAAAATCTGCACGAACGTGGAGAGGAAAAAATCAATTAGCGGTGGCACACATGCACCACCTGTTAATATGCTGCATTCAGAGAATATTATGGAAAGTCATGTATGCTTCTAACAGAGGAAAAAGTTTCCTCTTTTTTAAGTTTGTAAAAAATTGATAAAAAAAATATAGACAGCTCATTTCTAAAGTTAAATATTAATTAACTTTATTTATTTAATACAATTTAAAATAATATATCATTTCTAAATCTACTATATATTTATGCTTAAATATAACTTATATTATTTTTTTATTTAATTTTTTTATTTTGTACTTGTTTCAAGAATTAGGTTTTGAAATTTTATTATATTATTTTAATAAAGTTGATTTAAATTAATTTTTGTGAAATCGCTTGCAAACGCTTGGTTAGGTTTAAACATATCAACAAGATAAGTAAGATTGGTATATTTGGATTTGAATTAATTTATTAAATTGATTGAAAAAATTGAGCATACTATTAAAAAAAGTATATCTTGATATGATAAAACCAAACCAACCTCATTTATAATCTTCCGCATAATTGGAAAACTTACAACTTTGGCATTTTTTTTGTGTTTATTAAATTTAACAAATTAATTATATAACCATGTCAGTGTATCTCAAAATGAAAGTTGGACTAGATCAGAAGTTGTTCGAATCAATTCAATTCATTGAAGTGAAAAAGGGCCGGATGTCAGAAATAATAGGCGCGCAGCACACATTTCACGCAAAATCGGAGCGATTCCACCATAATAATACATTTTTCGCACTGCCCCCTCCACCAAGTCGTGTGGAACAAAGGCCTCTTTCTTTTCGTCTTTCTCTCAACTAATGATGATTTCATCCGCGAATGACGGGAGAGGCGCCGCGTAATTTCGCGACGACGGCTGATCCCGCCGCGCTGATAAGCCCTGCCGCTTCTTTCACCGTGCATGTGTTTGTGCGCCCGTATAGCTCTTTTTTCTGGTCCATCATCAGTCGGCTGATGGCGGTGGAAGCGGAAACTGCAGCCGGTGCAGCGCGGAAGCGGCCCTGCTGACGAAAGTAGTCGCTGCTTTTATTCGCACACACACAGCCAAATTGGCCTCTCTCTCGTAAATCTGCCTGCAGCTGACTGAGAGAGAAATCGATTTTGCTCCGCCCGTGACCTATCCTTGTACACGCGCAGGGGTGCGCTAGAGATTGGAAAATGGTCCTGTTGCGGCAGAGATGCTGGATCTCCACCGTGGACATCCAATACTACACTCGAACCCATGACAGCAATAACTGTTTGCTGGTGAGTTTCTCAACCAAAGAATTTTTATTAATTTTTCATTTCTGCAAAATTAAAATTTGCTGATGGAGTTTTATGTTTCTTAATTCGGTTGTATTGATTTCAAATGAATTATTTTAAGGAATCAGCCCTAATATTACTTAAAACTATGGGCTTGTAATTATTCAAGCATTGAAATTTGATTTATAATTAATGAACAAAAAACAACAGCTGTCTTTTTAATTAATTGACAAACAACACAAACACTTCCTTTGCAGCTCAAATTTCAAAACAAATTAAATTTTACGAGCTAAGGGTCAAATCAATTGGTTTGTTCAGGTTATAATTAAAAGGTCTTATGAAAATTGACATCCATAATGAAATTCTCACTGAAAACTTTAATATATTCAGACTCCAGAGTGATAAAAAAAGTACTAGAATATAGCAATTGGGCTACAGCTGCAATTTTCCTATCCAACTGATGAAAATATTACTCTCATTTAATTAAAAACTGTCA